ATAATAAAATTAGAAGTTGTTCTAATGTGATTAATTTTTGTTTGCAGTCAATCCTGATTCAGGGCAGGGGAAAATTCAACTGCAGCACGCCCGGCATCGAAACCGCGCGGTGCAACTCAAGCAACCCTGAGTGCGTACCTTACGCATTAACAGTTGTACCTAACAAAACTTACCGTCTCCGGATCGGCAGCCTTACGGCACTCTCAGCTCTGAGCTTCGAAATCGAGGGCCACAACATGACCGTAGTCGAAGCCGACGGCCACTACGTAAACCCTTTCGTGGTAAAAAACCTCTTCATCTACTCTGGCGAGACCTACTCAGTCCTCGTCACAGCAGATCAAAACCCGTCCCGCAATTACTGGGCCACCGCCAAAATCGTGAGCCGCAACAGCTCCACGCCAGCCGGGCTCGCGGTTCTCAACTACTACCCGAACCACCCCCGCCGGGCCCCGCCCACGAGCCCGCCCGTTGGCCCCGCCTGGAACGACGTGGGCCCCAGGCTGGCACAGAGCGTCGCCACGCGGGCGCACCCGGCGCACGTCCACGCGCCCCCACGGGCCGCGGACCGGACGATCGTGATGCTCAACACGCAGAACAGGGTGGACGGGCGAGTCCGGTGGTCGGTCAACAACGTGTCGTTCAATCTCCCGCACACGCCTTATTTAATCGCGTACAGGCAGGGTTTGCTGGGCGGGGTGGACCGGCGGGCCCCACCTGACAATTATGCTGACTTGGCGAATTATGATATTTACAGCGTGGCGAGGAACGTGAACGCGAGTGTTAGTAACGGGGCGTATAGGCTGAGGTTTAATTCGACGGTGGATGTGATTTTGCAGAATGCGAACACGATGGTCGTGAACAACAGCGAGACGCACCCGTGGCATCTGCACGGGCATGATTTCTGGGTGGTGGGTTACGGGTCGGGTAAGTTTGATGCGGGGAGGGATCCGGCGGGTTATAATCTGGTGGATCCGATAATGAAGAATACGGTGGCGGTGCACCCGTACGGATGGACGGCGGTGAGGTTCAGGGCGGATAATCCGGGAGTATGGGCGTTTCATTGCCATATAGAGTCGCATTTTTATATGGGCATGGGTGTGGTGTTCGAGTCCGGGGTTGAGAGGGTGGGGAAGTTGCCGGAGTCGATAATGGGATGTGGAGAAGCAAGGATTGTTAATCATGGTAGGCCGTGATACTGACACACAGGGACCCCTGTGTGTGTGCGATTGTCTGCGTATGAAATTTCTGTTTTTTTTTTTCTCTTTTTTTATTATTATTTATGTTTTTTAGTTGGGGAAGGGAATGAAGGTAGGGATTTTTGTTATCATGACTCTGCGGATTGTTGACATGTAAATTGTTTCACGAATTGGTTAAATTAATGTGCAAGCAAGGAATCAAGATCCATGTTTCGTCTAACTATCACCAAATAGCCTTCGTCCTCCATTTCTTCACTGTGTGAAATAGAAATCTCTTTTATATTTTAGCTTATATTTTGATGTTCAAAATGGGATTTAGTTTTCTTTATTGAGAATTGTCTTCTGTCTTCTCTATTTGGAGGTTTAATTATATTTGAAATACATTATTAGATTTAGTTGTTTTGAGTGGATGTTAGCCAACATTTGTCATGGAAGTATGCTATAAGTTTAAGAAAGATTTAAGTGTTTAGATGAAGAACAAATTAAACCCAAAACCTCATTTTTACTAACCATTTTTATATAAATATATAGTTTAGTTTCAGCATCAGGTTAGATAAGTTTTTCTGTCAATGATTCTTATTACCCCATTTCTACGGTGTAAAATCAATATTAACATGGCGGATTAAAAACGAGTTTCAATAAATTTATAAAACGTGTTAGGATATTTGGCCCATAACCAAATCCTTATCTCAGGTCCAAGGATGACTCGGCCCAACTCCTGTCTTGGGCAAGGCCCTTTCACTTGATCAACTCAATCATGACCATAGTATTGAGGATTTTGATCTCTGCCATCCATCTTGCACCTTAAATACCATCTCCTCTCACTTTTACCCTAAGAACATCTTCAATGCATTGGGTCTAGTCTTACCTATGTGGCAAGCAAATAAACCCAAGTCTTAGATGACATGGATAAAACTATGTAAAATTAATAAAATTCACTCCAACGCAAAGAGACTAGGTCTCTACTTGGGTCTAAAATAGACTTACGGAGAGACCGGGTCTCTTTTTCTGGCTGCCACCTCAGCAGGACACAGTCTACTTTTATTTGCATTGGAGAATATATTTTTTTAGACTGAGTCTATTTCTTATGTGGCATGTAATTTTTTGGGATTAAACTCAAACCATTGTGGATGCTCTAACATTTTCTTCTCCTGCTGCTACGGCTAAAAAAGAAAAATCTCTCTCTCTCTAACCCCGATTCTCTCAGTCTAACTCCGATTCTCTCAGTCGATCGATACTCTGCATCTTTACGCTATAATTCTGAGTGTGTGTGAGCTGAGAGTGACGTCGCGCCTACTATTTTCTTCCCCTCGTCGGATAGAGCCCTTGTGTGGTGCTTTTCTGGCGAGCCTCTGTGTGAACGGTGAGGTTTTGCGATGGGTGACCGAGTGTCTGGCTTGTGTGTGAGGCGCAACCCAGGGAACGAGCCGAGGAACTGGGGCCGCCGACTTCGACCACCACCGAGTCGTGACTCACCGAGAGTGCCAGGTCCAAGGACGATCTGAGCCGGACTTCGTGTCCTAATTACTGCCAGATTCCGACAAACGAAAGGGAGATTTGTGTCATTTTTAATTAAAATCCTTTCTTAGTGTTATTAATCCCTCTATTTTGCTAGCAATCACTATTGCTTCGTGTTTTGACTTGCAGCTAAAAAAAGGGGCTTAAAAGGGAGTGCCTGGACCAGCCCGGAGTTCGAAGAGCAGACAGAGAATCCCCCGAAGACGAGCAGCACACCCAGGAGATAGGGAAGGACCCAGGAGATAGGGAAGGCTTGCATGCGGCCAGACGAGCATAAAGAGACGATTCTGCTGCCATTGTTGCCAGTGGCTGAAGCGGTGCACCGGGGACGACCATATAACAGTGGTATCAGAAAAACTAATAAAATTAAAAAAAGTTATTAAAAGTAAAAATATATTTTATAATTTAAATTAGTGAAATGTGCTATACTTTTAAAAGTCTTAATAGACATTAATAAAAGTTTAAATGTACACGAACTATTCAAATCACCAAAAAAAGAAAAATGTATATAAAAATTACAAAGTACTAGAAATTGGTACTTCTATTATAATTTAAGTTAGTGAAATATATTATAATTTTAAAAGTCTTAATAGATATTAATGTGAGATGGTACAGAAGTTGACAAAATCAAGAAGGCCACCATCAAAGCATATAACATCCTTATAGCACATAACCTTAACTCATAGCAGGTACAAATAATCAAACAATTGCTTATATTTATTTTCTGTTATCATATACGTCTTGAGAAACATAAAATTTATACCTTTTACATAAAACAAATTGCTTACTTAATTCTTTGTCATCATATAATTTTTATCAAACATAAAATTGGTACCTTTTTTCTTATTTTCAGCACTCAATTTTTTTCTTCCCGACTTCTAGTCTTTGTTGGGATGAACATAATCTGTACTTGTTTTATCCCTTGGTCGTTTTTTTCCTTTGTTTTGATTGTTGTTGCCTGTTGGGATGGCCGTTGTATGCACTTGTCTTCCTCATAACTAATATTTTTGCAAATAATTGTGTACTATAACACATTGTGTCAAAATATCTACAAACTGAGATGGATTTGGCCAAGTTATAAAACATAAAACTTTAGTAAGAATCGCATTATATAAACAAACATATTGATGCTATAGAAATCTTACTACTTTGTCTGGTGCGCCTATGCGGTTGATCAGATTGTAGGAGAGATTCAACAGTGACTTATATTAAAGAAAAAAATCCATCATATCTCAATATTGCGGAAAGGTCATATTTGGTTGTGTTTTAGAAATATGGACAAATAATTCTTCATATACTATTAAAGAAAAAATTTATAAGATACATTATTTTTAAAATGGTTGAGATTATGTACTCAATCTCCAGTATGTTGTTTCCAAATTATTATTTCTTAATTTTAGTTGTTAATTTATCAGTAATACAAGAAATTATAGATGCGCTACGATTCTAAATAACTAAAATGAATAAGATTTGTTATTTGTTAGGATTCTATCAATATCTTATTAAAATGCACGACTAACCAAATTAGGGAAACCGATGTTAATTTTTTTCATTAAAAATATTAGCACGTATTCTTTTGGCATAAAACTCTACAATTATGTTAACAAAAAAACATGATTCCTATTCTTATGGAAAGAAAATTCCTATTCCTATGGAAAGAAAAAAAATTAAATTGCATTATATAATTTTTAAATATGTTTTTTTAAAACTTACTACTAATACTAAGTCAACTATTAATTTTTTAAGTCAAAGTTACTATTTATAAATTTTTCAACAATCTCTTTATATTACTATAGATTTCAATTAAATAATATAAACCACCCAAAAAAAAAGTTAGAAGCTAGGTCATAAAATAATGTAATTTATTAGTATTTCCTAAAAGCAAATCAATATATTTGCACACAGAATTCCTAAATATAAATAATTTATAGAGGACTAGAGTTTATCAATATTTATTATATCATCCATTATTCTCGGAACATTAACTTGAATGAAAAAAAAAAGTAGACATCTCAATTTTTCGGCATAAGAATCTCCAATTTTATTATCAATATAAATGGGATTCATAATTAAGAAACGAATTAAAAATTGGCATAAGAATCTCCAAATTTGTTAGTTACCATAAGAATCTCCAAATTTTTTGGGGCATCTTAATTAAATTTGATTCCTAAAGATTCAATTGTGTTTATTTTCAAAATTTTCACTAATAGTAAGTCAAAATATTTATTTTGTTTTCGTCAAACTTACTACATCCATATTATATATATAAAATAAAACATAATTACATCAACTTTTATAAATAAAAATTAAATTATATATCAATCTTAATTGAAAAATAACAATTTTTTTTTGTCAAGCCTACTACTATATAGTATGAGTTATACTAATTATTATAACATAATATGATTAAATCATGTAATATGAGTTATAATAAATAATAAGTAATAATGTAGGGGTGATTGTTTATCAATCCTATTAAAAAAATCAATCAAAACTCAAATTTAACTCTAACTTTAACTCAACTTCACTATCTCTATTATTTTCAATATAATTAAATAATATCAACCAATCATTATTACACATCTCATCAACTTTAATTCACTATTCATCCACTCACATAATTTTAACTATCACTTCCAATCATTTTTCTCCTACTTTTACATCATAACAACTTTAATTATTTTATTTTAAATATTATTTTAATATATCCACTGACAACTAACCATACTATTTTTTTTTAAAAAAAATTAACTATAGCTAAAAAAAACTAATTAAAAGCTAGTTGAATTCATAAATAACTAGTCACGGCCCGTGCGATGCACGAGATGATATATTTTACTGGAATAATTAAAATATTCAATATTAAAATTAATGTGCATGTTATATATGTTAGAGTAGGGTACCCGGCGTTCCAATCTAATTGGACGTATTCTACTTGTAAATACAGTCTATTGGAATTATATTATGAATAAGGCATTTCTTTATCTTAAGAGAAAGCATTTATCTTATAATTGCACTTAAGATAAATTCCCTAGATCACTTATGGTTATAAGGTATGGTTGCGCATAGAGATGGTGATCATGGAACATACCTTGAAAGCCGTGATCTTAAATA